TAGGGAATGAGGGTTATCTTTAGCCTTGGCTGTTTTTCCTTTACTCATTTAGTGTAATGGTAAGAAGCCTGTTTACCTTTACATCCTCCTTAATCTATTAGCCTTACTGGGTGCTTTCATTCCCCCCCACTAGGCACCCCTAAAAATCCTACATTCAGGCTCTACAAAGCCAGTGTTTGCTCTATTCTACTCACCGATGACAAGCCAACTTTTTGTTTCAGCTGCTTCTTTCCAGTCTGGAAAGATAAAATTCCACTGCCGCTGGAATATTACCAAAGAAGCTACCTCTTTTGGTTATTGTAGGTTTTTTGGGGCTGTTTGGCCGTGTTCTGAAGGTTGTTCTTCCTAACGTTTCACCAGTCTCTGTGGCCGGTATCTTCAGAGGACAGCACTCTGTTCTTCTTTGCTTTACCTTACCTATACGCAAGTATCAAGCCACCATTCCTCTGGGCTGGGTGGCTGACAGTCAAGATCCTGTGTCTCACTGACTCTGCCAGGAAACTCACCAATTGCCTTCTCCAATATTACAAACTGCCCCCTTACCCTTTGAGTGTTATAAAAAAACAGCCTATACCATGTTTGCCTTGTCTATGTGTTGGTCTTCTGTGCTATAGAGGGCAGGTGGGGAGAAAATCCACAAAGGGCTGAGAGGTAGGAAATGTGACTGGCTTCCAGTGAGGGAGATGATGGGGAACATCCTTGGCACCAGCTTTGCTTTCACAGAATCCTGTGATGTCAGCTGTACACTCTCAGGAGATGGGGGGGAAATCCAAGAAATTGTGGTATTGGCTGGGAAGAATTGCCTGGCTGCTGGAGGAGAAAAAGTAAGTGGCCTAGGAAGCAACAGCTTTCCTTATATGGGATTCAAAGAAGAGTGGGAGCCAGGGAAGACACATCAGGAGGCTAAGGGGACTCAATTGACTTAGAATGCTAGTTTCCCCCATTTATTTAACTGTAGATTATCTCTTCTTAAGGACTGGCATTTCAAATTTTACAATGCAGGAAGCAAAAATGTAAAGTACTGCTTCATGGAGAATGTGATTTCAATTTTAGCAAGTCAGAGCAAAACGTTGCCTTATTTTAATTTGGACCAATGGAGTTAAGACTGGCCTTCTCTACTAAACTACCAAGAAATAGCCTGTAATCCTGCACCTGTACAATAGTGCTTTCATTTTCTAGTGTCCAATGATGAAAATCGAAGGTGTCATAGCTCTGTGATAGGGTATGTCATTTATGTGCAAAAGGTTCAGTTGCTGACATTCCTAATTAAATCTTTTAGGCAGCAGATCTGGGAAATCTTATTCTGGGACTCTGTTCTCCTTTAAAGCAGACAATACCATGCTAAATGGACCCATGTTGTGAACAGATATGGCAGCACTGTCAGATCTTCACTGAGTTAATTGTTGTAATAGAAACAGCACAGATTCATGATCTCCCATGTAGCCAAAGCCTCATGCTTATGTACCAAAAATATATGGGGGGAAAAAAAGGTCTGTCAAATAAATGTATTAAAAGGCTTTATTCACAATACTTTTTTTTTACAAATATAATTCTTAAAAATTAAGCTTTTGATCTCTTGTAACACCAGAGATTTCTATAAAGGTGGGAAAAGACTAAGTTGGATTTGCACAAATTAAAAAAAACATTGTAATTACACAAAATGACTGCATGAGAAGTTTACCATATCAACAAGTTGTCATTTGGAATTGCAGAGCTGTTATACAACACATTAAAATTAGTGATTTTCAGGATTTAATATATATTTAAACAACTGCATTGTGATATGATAAAGAGCAATGGAAGTTTAGACACAGTCTAAACAAGACAATGCATTTTACAAATGAAAACGGCCTTACCTTTAAATTATATACTATGGTCAGCCTTTGCTCAGTCACCCCATGGTTACCTCCCTTGAACATACAGGGTTAACAGTGTTATTTCCAACCTGACTATGTCAAAGTTGCTCCAACATACTAAATGGTAATTCTGAAGCCATTTATATCACTGTAAATAATCTCAGGATTGTAGCCATAGCTTTTTAAATGGTGATCACTCTGAAATTTTGTACTTTTGTGTTTGTATTAAACACAATATCACTCATTTTGAATATACAAATGTGTTTCTCACATACTTTTGCAGTTTTATAGGGTATACAATCTTCTTGTCTACTTCATATTACTTTACAAAAAGGTACAATATAGTGCATCTTGTACATACAACCTGATTACTGTATGCTACAGGATCATAAAAATGTTGTGCTCTTTCAATATTAACACTCATGAAAAATCACTATAATTACAACTTCCTGTAAAGAAGAATATGATATTGTTTGAAATACCTGTGTGGATAACTTTAAGGAGATCATACCTGTTTAAATTATCAGGGTCACCTGCCCTGGGACATAGGGTTAGACTAACTGAATTTCTTTGAACCACAATATTCATTTCATATTATATTAGTCCATTACTAAAAATAAATTATTATATAAGGGCTACATTGGGCTTTATGCATGAACATCTTTACTTGTTCAGCTGCTCATAGTCTAGAGAGTGTCTGTGAAGGCTATTTCAACCTAGTAAGATACAGTTATTGGGAAGGTCTGTTACACAGATGGAAAATATTAGCTGAAATCCTGTTGCATTCTTCCACAAAAAGCATAACTTCTAGTTGTTCCTAGCTGGAATTTAATGAGTCCACATTGAGATTCCCAAGTCAGTAGGTGTGCACACCTCCAAGAATTCCAGTGGTGACATTGCCAGCTAGGAATAGTTGAAGGTTATGCATTTTGCCCTCCACATGCATAATAACAAAGCTACAAGATTTCAGCCAGTATCTGATTAATTAAAATGTGGCCTATCAATCTTACTTTTTTACTTTCTAAAATAAGCATACTGGATCTTTTTATATTAGTAGCTGATTAAATAAGTATCTAACAGGACTTGCTTTAAAACAGATGACATGGTCTAGCTGCATGGTCTAACTGCAAGATAAACCATTGATTAATACTGAAAAGGGGATTTGATAAACAGCCTATTCAAAAAGGAGGATGCAATGTTTTTAGGTACGCAGAAGAACTACATTAAAGACAAATTAATACTGAATAAACAAAGATCAATGCAATTCTACAGGTGTGATCTTGGAATACAAAATTTGGAAGAGGCACTCCTGGCCTATGACTTTCCTCTTACATGATGTCAAGCAGCGTTTAGGATATTTCACGTAGATGGTGGTAGCAGACTGTTGATTCATGAAGCCGTAAGGTGGAATTGCAGGGAGGATATATTAGTAGATGTCTGTGATGGAAAGAATTCTGAGGAAAGATTAAACCATAATGGTGCTACAGACTCTAATATCAATGGTAAAAGGTAAGGTAAAGGTTCCCCTTGATATTTAGTCCAGTCGTGTCCAACTCCATGGGGTGGTGCTCATCCCTGTTTCCAAGTCATAGAGCCAGCGTTTGTCTGTAGACAGTTTCCATGGTCATGTGGCCAGCACGACTAGACACGGAACGCTATTACCTTCCGACTGAGGTGGTACCTATTTATCTACTCACATTTTACACGCTTTCAAACTGCTAGGTTGGCAGGAGCTGCGACAAGCGACGGGAGCTCACTCCGCCGCGTGGATTTGAACTGCTGATTTTTTGACCTTGCAGCTCAGAGGCTTTGCGGTTTAATCTGCAGTGCCACCACATCCCACTAATATCAATGATAGGTCTCAAAAATGGTAAGTACTGCCTCAGTGGAAATAAAAATCTTAGGCAACTGATATAAACAGTCACAATCTGTGGATGTTGGATGACCAAAGTGGTCAAAACAATAAAGCAATAGTACAATAGACATAAACAGTCTTTGTTGAACTAAAGCTGTTACACAGATTGCAACATTCTAACATTAAGATGTAAAAAACTATGACCAATTTGCATTGCACATTATTAGCTCATACAAATAACCTTTGCCCTACATATACTTTTGAAAAGTGCATTAACCTTAAAAAAAACAGGTTTACCAATCAATACCATTAGACTTACATCATTCTGAGTTACAAGTCTGGAAATCAGGTACAGCAGCATATATTTTAACCTGGTGCTCTCTACTCAGTTATGTATCACAGAAATTCCACTTCAGATGCCAGGTTGAGCAGCCAAGGAGCCACTCTTATTTGTTCAGAATGTCAGGGCACTTAAATTCACTCTAATTTCCCTTTTAATCTACACACAATAGTTGTTCCTTTGATATGACAAAATGCTCATTGTTGAAGAAACATATTACTGTGAGCAGTGAAACAAATACAGTATCTATGCAATGGATGTTTTAGGGAAAAATAGATTGAACTAGATCACCACCATCATTATTTAGAACTGCAGAGCTGGAAGGGATCCTATGGATCATGGAGTCCAGCCTCTGTTAAGAGGCACAGTGGGGAATCAAACTCTCATCTTAGATGCCTAGACAACCAAGCTAGTCATCAGTTCTATTACATTTGGCTTTCTTCAGTTCATACTCATAGACACAAAAATATAGAAAGTAACCTAGAAACCAATTTGTTGCTGATGTTCAGAAACAAACTGGTTCTTTAGATAAAATAAGGACATGTACTTTCCATTTCAGCATCAACAATGAAGTATGCTTTAAATTTAACATTTACCATAATGCTGTTCTTCAACTCATTAAGCCTTAAAACATGTTATCATTTTTTAAAAAATTAACCAAGGGTACACAAATGTGTAAAACAGGATTGGCGACGTGTGGCTCTCTATATGTGGCATTGCAATTCCCAGCATTTCTCACCATTGACTACAGTAGCTTTAGGTGACTGAAATTATAACCCAACAACATTTGGAATGCCACATATCACCAACCTCTGGTGTAAAGAAGTTAGGAAATACAAACTACAATGTTCAGGACAAGACACTGTGTTGAAAAATTTCTCTCATAGTTTGACTGATTTTCTGAACTATGAGGAAGTAAACAGGAATCAGAAACTAACAATGGTTCAAATCAAATTTAAAAATGTATAAACTTTTATTAGACTAGTTCTTGTGATGGCTAAAATGAGCCACATACCTATGCATACCCAACTGCAACCAAAATATTCTAGGCAGCATGAATTTCGTAGCAAAGCCCCAAAGAACAGTCATTTCTCAGACAAATATGCAGGCCAACTTCTCCCTCCTAATTTGTTCTCAGTTCTTCAGTTGCCACAAAAGATTCCTCAACTTTCAGCTTTCAAAATTTGGATAGTTTGTAGGAATAAGTGTTGTGATTTGGCATGAAGAAGCACAAAAAAGAAAATAGTAAAATCTTATGGGGGAAAGGAAAGGGTATGAGAGAATTATTGCTTGTGCTCTCTATTCATATTGTCAATCACATATTACATTCCTGTGGCCCAATCCTGTATGCAGCACTGTGTACTAGCACAAAATCAACAGCCCAAGACTTTCCTGTGAAACCATCATGCTATAATGGCACCGCATCATAGCTAATGCATCCTGTTAAACTGTATTACAGCACTGTGTAATGTTATTTGCCACTACTACAAAGCAAATTATGCATGCTGCAAACCCATAGCACTTAAAGTACTCTCTGGGTAGTTTATAATTTAATTGTGCAGGCAGCACATTGCCCTCACCCCCAGTGAGCTGGGCATGCAATTTACTGATCTTGTACAGATGGAAGGTTGAGTCAACTGTGAGCCAGCTACCTGAACCCAGGATTGAACTCAGGGTGTGAGCAGTTTAATCACTGCATGATAACTGGTTAAATTGACACAGATTGTGTGTAATCATTTGGGTTCTATCTTAGTCACTTTATCCACCTGTCTAGTAAGTCATATTCATGGGCTAAAACATATGGTTTTCATATTTGACAGTGTAACAAATTAACAGCGTTTATGTGCTGAAGTCTCCTTAATGGCCACCACTATAACTACATGCTGTATAATGCTATATGTAGTTCGAAGATTTAAGACTGTATGGGCAAAATCTGATTTCAGAAGCAACTGGACAACTGATACAGCTTTAACTATTTCTGTATTATTTCTCATGTTCCCTTCCCTAAATTTTCCACACTTCTAGAAAAAATTCCCTATGGTAACATCTCTGATTTTCACTCTGCTTTCTGCACAGAACTTGGTGACTGGCCATACAAAATTACCCCAAGTAGATGTGGCTACTATCACTCATTAAAATCATACTGCCCACAGAAGCATTCCCAAAGAAAACTGTGAAGAAAAGAAAATCTGTTTCATAACACAAATGGATAATATTAACCCATACTTTAGTTGTTACTTCTACTAACAAAGGTACAGAATAGAAACATATACATATATACTGTACATGAAGCACTTAAAGAGTTTCTAGCTCTCAAAAAGGGAATTCAAACTAAAATGTGGATTTCTGAAACATGGTACCTTTGAGATCAGTGGCGTAGCATGGGTGGGGACATAGGCAGTTGCCTTGGGAACTAAATTCTTAGGTTTGCAAAAATTCAGCCCTGCCATGGAGCCATAGGGTGAGGTGGAGCACATAGTGAGCCTCACCTTCCCTCTTCTGGCTGCAGCTGCCTTGTTGCTCTGTTTCACCCCTCAGCAGGTGGCAGCAGAGTTTGATTATGGCCATGTGGACCTGCCTCCTCGGAAAGGGTGGGTTGGAGGGTGAAGGACAGCCTGGAGCAACCTGACCTCCCCCCTGCATAAACAGAGTGGACGGGCCTGGTGGGTCACATGGAGGGTCCGGTGGGGTGAAGGGGCTTGACTGGCACCAAGCTCCCTCTCCTGTCACTTCCCAAGGTGACCTCAAGGGTGGCACAATACTTATCTTGCCTTGGGTGCTGGCAACTCATGTTAAGTGACTGGGTGTCAGAGAACAGCAAATGGAATGTTACAAAAAAGCAATAATAAGACTTAATATTTAACTAGCCTGCCTCCATCTTTAAATAAAAGAAGCCTTGAAACATATTGGATTCCACATACTCAGTCAACTGCATGACAGATTACAGGCTTATAGGAATACAGTTTTTGCTTTTCAATGTAATCTCTACTGAAAATGCAACCCATACTAGAAGAGGTCAGTCTAAAAAGCTATGTCCAGATGCTAGCTTCCACATTCTTGATTTAGTGGCTCCTTGTGAAACTAGCATAGGAACAGAAAAGTTTAGAAGCAAATTTACCAGTGATTAGGTTTGATTTGCACTTATATTTTAAAAGTATATCATAAAAGGGTTTCAAAATCCAGGCTTCGTCTTTCAAGATGAGCCACAGCTTAATATAATAGAGTGTGCACAGATGAGATGAAACTGTTCTTGTATAGTTTTTCATGAACAGTATACTTTTTAAAGTATTCAAATTACCAATTAATGATAGACCCGCATAAGAAGAGGCTGTCACAGTTAGATTTGTCTCTAGTGATCAGACAAACCACATTAACATAGATTAAAAAAGAAAAAGCTCTTCATACTTAATTCTTTATGGCTTTTTGCAACACAGCAAAGTATTACGGCTTAAAGCAGACATCTCCTCATAGAGGAGGGAAGAATTTTGCAGTCAAAAACAAACAGAAAACAGAAAACCTCACTGTTCTATCTGGCCAAGCATACACTGTGGCCTAACAAAATATAGAGATGACAGGTTAATATTTTTTAAAATACATAAATAAGATTAATTGTAATTAGTGACTTTCGGTCCCTTGATAAAAACTTTTTATAGGTAGACATCAGACTGCAAAAAAACTGGTTCAAAACTCAAAAGTGACAACTCTGGAATATTAATAACTGCATCATATGCCCAAACAAAATTTAGCATTATTTTATTTGCTTTTGCTTTCACCCTTTTCTTCCTTTGTGAGAACTGGGAGAGGGTGTGCCTCGGTGTTGAAAACCCAATTTTCAAATGGAAGAAGATCATCTTCAGAGAATAATAAGTACAGGTACCTGGCAAGGAAGGGAAAAAAGGATTATTTTATACACTCTAAAATCACAGATAAAGGAATAGTAATGAAATCATTTATACTTGTATCTAACAAATCAACTATCTATATATCAATAATGGTACAATGAATTAGATAATCTGGAGTGTTAAAGAAACAGCTGGGAAAACTCTGCCTGCATCTCTGTTGAATTGACTCAGATCCCTTCATAAATCAACCTATACGCAAATATGAAAGTGATTAGTATGTTACATGAAATATGCTTCTGACAGCATTTAAGAATGAAATGTGCAGGTATTGTAGCTCACTTCAAGATACTGCCATTTCTATTCAAAATCTCATTCAGTCACTCAGATGGTTCATTTGGAATGATGTTAACTTTATCTGAGAAAGACAAATTTAAATAGTTGCTTATAATGTTAATGGAAGTTACGGTTGTTATGTGCTGTCAAGTTGAAACCAACTTATAGCAGCCCTAAACAGGACTTTCAAGGTGAGATATTTAAGGAGTGTCCAGTTCTGCATCCCCAGTGAGTTTGAACCTCCCAAGTCCTAGTCTGTCACTCTATCCACTACACCACACTGGCTATCCCTGAAGTTAGTTACCTTTTATTTTTATAAATAAAAGATTATTTTATTTCATTTTTATCCTTCAGTCAGCTCCCACCCAATCTGTTTTCCACCTGTCTGTTCACCTGTGCTGTATTCAGTTCAATAAATACTACTCCTTACATAAACATAATTGAAAAACCTCAAAGCACTTCTTATACATTCTTAGCAATATTCTGACATCATCTGCATGTTACAGGGAACAGGGCTGAAACTCGAGACAAGGTAACTAAAAGCAGGTTTATGGTTCACTAACATGTATGTGTATCATCTACATCCCACTTTCCACTGAGCTCAGGGCAGTGTACATCACTTTGCTACTCATGTTATTTTCACAACAACTGATCAAGACAGGTTAGACAGAGAGAAAATGATCAATCTGAAGCCTTCCCTGGTGTTAGTCCATACACTGGCCACCTGTCAGTTGTCACAGGCACAAGACCAAGAAACTGCAGTCTAAGCCTGGCTTTACTTCAGTCTATCCTGCTTTCACAGTCATCCTTTCTTTTTAAGCCTGGCCAACTTCACTGATCTGTTTGCTGAAAACCTCACCAGTACTCCCTGAAGTTCCTATTCTAGTCCTAAAAATCTTCACTACACCATCAGGATTCTGACACCAGCCCAGATGAACACCACTTAATGGATCATGTTGTCCTCAGAGACCACTTAGGAATTGTGTGCTTCTGTTAAGCTTGGAATGTGCTTCATCCTTTTTCCTCCTACCAACTTCTACAACATTTTTTCACTGTTTGCTGTCCATTTCCACAGCCCAGGTGAAGAACACTAACACTTCTCTCTTCTGTTTCTAGAGTTTCAGTTGCTTACTTGAGTGTTTCTGAGAGGAAGAAACTCTGCTGCACATCATCATGGCTTTGGCGGCTGCTGTAAACATCCCTAACACCAGAATAGCCTCCATCTACTCTGCAGTATTTTTCCAATGCCTGAATTTCAAAACGGGAAAAAAAGGTTACAAGTTTTTTTAATAAATATTTTTCTTTAATGAAAAACACTTCCAGGGTGGTTGGAAGAGATAAAATAACCAGAATAGCAGGAGATGAAAATAGTGAGATGAACACAGTTTAGGATTGTTCTATATATTTATAATGCTGATTAGACAATTAAGGTTTTGAGAGCATGATGGATCTTGACATTAACACCAGAAGAAGAAACAGGTGCTCAAGTTTTTAATGCCGCATTCTTCAATCTTTGCCTATTATAGGATTATGCAATACTTACTAGAATTGTCAGCATTAAATTTAATGAATCAGTAATTAATTAACCAAGGCCAGGAGAGATTTACGAAAGCAAGATAATTAAATGATAATCTTAAATCATTTTAAAGCAGAAAGAAATTCAGAAAATAGATTTTTTGAGAGAAAGGGAAAGGACAGGTTACTTACCTGCAACTGTATTTCTTCAAATGGTCATCTGTGAATGATACTTCTGCACATGCACAGATAATCTTGGGAACATTCTAGAGTTTTAACTTCTCCCTTCAGGTAATACACCTGTGGAATGGTTGCTCTTCAATTCCCTCCATCAAATGCCACTCAATAAGTGGAAGAAGTGGAGGTTATGTGAATTCACAGATAACCACTTGAAGAACTACAGTTACAGGTAAGTAACTGGCCTCCTTCTATGTGATCTATTGATTCACACACATGAGTGACTTTAGAGATCGTGTCAATGGCCTTAAGTGACTGTTCCCGCAGGAAGACTTTTAATCTTGACTCTGTTCTTAAGGCTAACTTTCATGATGTTTTGACAGATTTTACAGTTCTGGGTCTGATGACCCCCACCCAGACAGGTAGAGGCACTTCTTGTGGCTGTCAGTGCATCGTGCTGCCACAAGAAACACCTTGTTTAAATGGGGCCTTAGAGACCAAAAGCAGTGGCAAACAAATGACAAATGTCAATGTTTTATTTTTAGAATAAGAAATAAATGAATGAACTAACTAAGTGAAGTTAAACGGTAGGAGAGAAAAAATCCATATAACTGACAACATTTGAAGAGAAAATACTTGGTCCAAAGAGCCCAAGAGACTGCCAGATCACTGGTATGGGGGAACTGAGAAACAACCGTTGAGCGGACAGGTATATTAACTGAAGGGGCAGTTTAAAGCTCTAGAATGTTCCTGAGATAGTCTACACAGGCACAAAAGTACCAATGTGTATGAATTGAAGAGACCATGAAAAAGAACTGATAGATATATTGGAGGATGGTAACTCACTAATTTGATCAGTTAAATTGACAGATAGGTTCAGAACAGAGAGTCCTCAGATTCTGCATCTCATCTCATTATCCTGAAGGGGAGGGATAGACTTGTATATACTTTTAGACACCGCAACTTAGAATAGATTTTTGGAGATGTAATTTAAATGCCCTTAGGCCTGATTAAGGGTACTCTCTAGAAGAGGGCATAACAAGAACCGAGGTAAAATAAAATAGCATCTATACACGAAGGCATATATGGGAAATTATTTAAAGATAATTCTAAAGAACTACTTGGGTCAAATACAAAATTCACAAAATTCACACAGCATTGTCTTGGCACACAGTATCAGTCCCTCCCAAGGTGGTAGGTTTTTAACTGCAATGCAAAATAAAATAAAATAAGTGGACAGAATTATATTAAACTCTATGATTATAAAATTAGTCTCATAATTAAGAAACTACTTTTAGAAAACTCAAAAACAGCAGAAAACACTAGCAATTTCTGATAGAAAAAGATTGTTTTTTGCCTTTTTAGATGCTGAGAAAGCTTCTGATGGGGTAGAGTGTTTTTTAGATAAAAGATCCTAGGAGAATTCACTTTTTGGAAAATGTTAATTATGTTAATATTTTGTATTATTTCAACTTCCATTTGCACTACCAACAACTATGAGACATCAGATTTTTTTGAGGTAGAAGAGTGCACTTGAATAAATCTACTGGAAGAAGCAAAAACCACAATATGCAGTAGAATTGCTACAGAATAGACATTAATAAACATACTCACTTTCCTGAAATTTAAATCTTCTGAGAAAAGTGGTAGAAGACTAACATGTATTATGGTATATAAGCTGATAGATGTTGGGAACAAATATTTATTAAGTAGTTTGCAACATATTGGAGATTGTACTTCAGATGAATGTTTCCCCCCCCCCTCTCTCTCTATCTGTCTATCTAATAGAGATGGCCATGATCCCTTTGTTTGGTGGTTTGGACTTGTTTGTTTACTGCTGCAAACAGGTGTTTGGCTCACCCACTCAGAAGCAGCACCTGGAGGATGCAGGACAGGGAAGCTAGGATGCTCCCTCTGAGTGGGCACCTGCCAGATGGGGTGGGGTGCTGTATTGCTGAATACCTGTTGCAGAGGTAAACAATGTACCTACCTCTGTTATATAATATTTATTAAAACATATTTCATGATGAGATCAATATCCATTATTATTGTTTCTATTTAAGCCAGGAGGAGGAAAGTATTTTGGCTTTGTGGGCCAGTTTTCCCTGCGGACCTGCTTGGTAAGTGGGCCAGATGATACTAAAGGGCATTTTGTTCTGAACTTTCCCCCTCTTATCACCTGAATCCAATCACCAACAGTATTTTTCTTCATTTCTCCCTCAGCTTCAAAGATATCCTTTCCTGCATCTTTTTGGTGTCCCATAGAGTAGAACCGGATTAGACTCCTGTTGCTGTCTCAGATCACTGATCAGAGGCAACAGTAGGATTCTCACACATGGATGAAGTAGCCTCTAGAGACCCTCTGTATGCTAGAATGAGACTGTCAATGGACTGAAGGCCCTTCTCCTCAATTTAAGTGGTATACTATCAATTGCTTGTGTGAAATGTATATCGTTCTTCAAAGTGAAGAAACTACCCATTATAGAAGGTTATTTTCATCAAGGTATTTCTGATATATATTTAAAGAAAGAAATTTAATTTAATTTAATTTAATTATTTATTTGATTTTTATACCGCCCATCTGGCTACCAAGGCCACTCTGGGTGGTTTACAAATGCAGCAATACAAGCAATAAAAGAGAAATAATCAACAACAACAAAAACAAAATATAAGAGTGTGGCATCTAGCCAGGTCATGAATATTAATATGCTATATGCATGAACCAATGAAAGTGCTGGAGAGGTGGAGTCATGAGATATAAGATTCTCTGCAGCAGCAGGAGGAGTTGAGATTGGAGTTTTACGGTTTGAGAGTTGGAGAGACTGTAGTTTTGGAGCTTGGGATGGATAGAGAGAGGGTTGGCAGTTGAGGGTGGATGAAGTGGGATGTTTGGTTAAGGTACATTGATTGTACCTTAATCACCTGTAATAATAAACAACTTCTATTTGGTTCTGTTTAAAATGACACATTGCCTGGACTTCTTATTATTAATAATACATAATACTGATGTAATCAATTGGTCGCAGCCACACGATACATAGCTTGTGCCCTTTGATTGGTGAAACAACCAAGGGACAGGCAGGAACATGACAAACTGGTGGCACTGCGCTGGGATACGAAACATTCCAGTGAAAAACTGAATGGTCTTGAGTTTGAAGGTATTCCTAGCTAGGAGAGGTTAGGATCTGTGATAAGAAGTGGTTACCTGTTAGAGTCTTGTGGAAGACTTAGTTTCGGGGTGGCTGAGCCCAGATCTGGAGAATCCTGAGATAGGGAAAATACTTAAGAGAAACCATTTACCTCCGGATTTACAAGACCAAGAGGCTAGCTCAATATCTGGAGCTCTGGGGGCAAAGAGCAGTGGAGGATGGAGTGGAAGCCTAAGTCAGGATAGATCTGAGGTGATTATAAATGCTAAAAGTAAAGAAAAGCTAAGCAGAAAGTTGTTTTTGTGTCTGGAGAAAAGAATCGCCTAGACAGGGAAACATTGCGGTAAGGGTTGTGAGCTTGGAAGTAGCCGAGGCGAGCTGCTTGGAAAAGCGCAACCTAGTTATGATTGGTGAAACAGCCAAGGGACAGGTGGGAAAGTGACAAAGAGCTACTAAAATAAAATCCATTAAGATAATAACAGAAATAAGTACATTACCTCTACAGCTTCCCAGCCCCACTGTCGATACTTTGGGTCATGAGTGAATCGCCACATGTACATGTAGGTTTCAATAACTTCAGGCCTCAAGATATAGTATTTTTCATTCTGTCTGGTAGCAATTGCCTCCACTCCTCCATCAAACCGGAAGGCTTCTGGTCCCAGTTTCATGCCTAGACACAGTATTAAATCTCTTATTGTTGGCATGGGTACTATGGAATTTAAATACTTCATAGTGTAAAACCACCATATAAATGTATGTGAAAACTATTAACTTTTTACTATTATGCATAAATATTTTATAGTTCTAAACTCAAACATTAAATCCATATGCGACTATTGTACAAAACTCCAATCCTTTTCCCCCGCTAAAAACATTGTTTTGCAAAAGCTCCCAATAAAACAATCACATTTACCCTATCATATTTTATTGACATCCCTAGCAGGAAATAACACAGAACAGAAAAGAACCACATATGGATATATGACAAAATTAAATAAAATGTCCCAAAGGCTGAATGCAAACCACACAAATGGATTCTTTCAAGCTGAGGATTAGCACGAACATTACTGAACAATATATATAGCCGCCTAGAGTGGTTGTAACTGACCAGATAGGCGGGATATACTGTAAATAGAATGAATGAATGAATGAATGAATGAATGAATATACTGAGAAATCTGAAATTTTCTTAGAATATTTCTCCAAATGAGATTACCTACTCTAAGGTTTTTCTGAAAATGAAACATGTACTTAAGAAAACATTTATCTAGAATTTTAAGCTCTTAGCCAACTCTTGACTAACTGGTCAAAACAGAAAATGACTGAAATCCAGTATTAAGTTCAATTGAGGGAAGACCTACTGAATAAGTGGAGATTTGAAAAGTCAACAGCTATGTAAGTTTCACTGACTCAGGAGCCTACTCTAGTGCTACTTAATACTGGATTTCAGCCAGTATGACAATATTGACTAGTGGTTATTTCAAGCACAAGAGGATTTAAAGAAACAACAAACCAAAATAAAAAACCATATAAAGGAACATAAAAATAAACACTTCCTTGATGGGATGTTACCTCTGCTGTGGAGCCCCTGATACAGTGGGGTCTCTACTTAAGGACAATCCAACTTAAGAACAGCTCCATTTGCTAAATTTTGCTTCTACTTGAGAACAGAAATCCAAGATAAAAACAGGAAAAAAACCTTTCCTGCTCTTTTTTTAACCTTAGGTCATCTTAGGTTAAAAAAAATTCTCCCCCTAGTGGTAGAGTACGTATTAACCAGCTTTGCATTAGTTCCTATGGGAACTAATGCTTCAATGTACGAACACACCTCTACATAACAAAAAAACAGCCGGAACGGATTAATTGGTTTTCAGTCCATTCCTATGGGAAATTTCGCTTCAACTTAAGAACGTTTCAACTTAAGAACACCATTCCAAAATGGATTAAGTTCTTAAGTAGAGGGTCCACTGTAGTTTCTATGGACGGAAAAGAGCAGATACAGATTAAATGGTTTTCAATGCATTCCTGTGGGAAATGCAGATTCAAGATAAGAACTTTTCAACTCGAGAACCACCTTCCAATACGGATTAAGTTCTTAAGTAGAGACCCCACTGTATCTTTGCAGAAAGCTATGTGGATATAAATCAAATTACTGTTTTATCAAAATGCAGCATTATAGGGAGTGCCATACACTAATTGAAGTTTCCTTCCTGCAGATTAGTTTATAAACTAATGGCAGCCTAGACACTTAAACTCATGTTAGCTGTCAGCTTCGAGAGAACAGGAAGTTTTGAAAATGGCAGACTACCAGAACAGCAACATAGCCACACTCACTTCTCATCTTGGCTGCTTGGAATCAGCAAGACCCTGGATGCAGTTTCATCCACCCCTCCCTTACTTAAGACTAATATTAAAGAAAATGGATTTTCAGTCAGAAGCAGTAGAAAACAGACTGCAGGCAGCTATACCACATTTCTTCCACTTTTACCATCTGACCACTTTGGCGGTAAACCTGACTCCCCCAGAGACATGAGAAGGGTTACCAACAGAATTCTTGCTACATTTATCTGAAAGTAAAAAGCATGCTGATGTGGGTCCCAATATCATGGGCAAACTACTCTCAGAAGGCTCTAAAATGTCTTCCCTCTCAAAAAGATGTGAAGGCAGGAATTACACATTTGACAGAATTTCAGCACTGAACTTCTTAAGCCAAACATATCAACCAGGCAGGAAGCAAGCAAAGTGCACAATACTAAAAGTTAATTGTAGAAGAAAGAAAGTTGGAAAGAACATTCTAGGATAAAGCTACTCAACAGTTTATAATGCTTACTTGTACGGTCATACGATTCATGACATGTGCGGGCAATTTCAGCACCAAGTTCAATGTGACGTCCAGTTTTATCAGCTGGTGCTCCATCTGCACCCAGAACAAACATTCCACCAGCAAAACAAGTGAGGTGGCCCATTTTGTGTTCAAGCAGGCCACCCTTCCACTCAGCAATGTACATCAAACCAGTGCTAGATTTCCTGATGAGATGGGTCTCTATAGACTGGTAAAGTAAAAATTTAAGTTTGTATTAGGTTGCAGTTAATAGACAACCCCCACCCTGAATTACTCCCAAAGGTTGTGAGACATCAAGACAGGCATTATATGAAGAATGAGTTGCTGTCCTGGTAGTGGAAACTAGCTAACTACCACGTGGACAGAAGCACTGTGCACAGTCTCTGGCTTCTTTGGAGTCTGGCCTTTGTTAAGGAATTTGACAGAACTGCTAAAGAGATGGCAAGTTGACTTAATAGGGTATTTTTTCATCGCAGGCCAAGAATTACATTTAGTGCAATATTATGGGTCATGACACTTCTGTGTTTAATTTATATAATTAAATGACTCTAAAAGCTATAAGAACATCGATAAGAATATATTTTAATCACAACAGCCAGCACGAGGAGTTTTCATAAGTATTGATTTATTTATTGTTTCTTCCTGTAGTGATGATAAACATGTTTTTAAATATAATGTTGGCATCTTGAATAATAAAAATGTTTTAATATACAAGCTAGGGGAAAATCCTAGTGTCTCATAATGCTTCAAAACAAAATTTTAACTAAATTCTTCAATCTTCCATTCAATTCATACAGATTTTCCCGTTTTGCCAAGCAGGAGAAGAGAGTGAGTTACATGTTTTAATACTGCATCTCTTCTGGCAAATAAAAAGACTTGAGCTAATCCTACCGTTGGAATAAACTGAGAATCTGATCTTTTGCCATTGGCATATAATCAGTTCACTATGAGGCAAAGGTATGCTGTCCAAGCATCCAATTCTGTTTTCCATTCTTAATGTTGGATCCAGACTTCGCTTTTAACACACAGAAAGTTTCTATCCATTTATAGGAAACTTTTGATCCAGTTGACAGATGTCACTGACAGAATGGGATCACAGGACTTGCTTTCCCCTCCCTTTAGTGCTATCTCACTTAGTGTTTCCCATAATAATATAGAGCAATTTTTGGAACTTCTGGGGAATTGAAAAAAAGCCACTTCCCTCATCCCAGTCCCTGAGAGATTCTCCTAGCATTGGAAACAAAGTTTGGAACCAACTTACAGTATAAGTAAGAAACAATAATAATTCATGGAATAGGATACTGAATATTAAATAAAACCATTGAAAATATTTTTAAAGGAATTCATATTCAACATTATTTAATGCTGAAAACATTTTAAAATGCAGACAACGAAGCATCTTTCTTTATGAGCAATTTTATATTAGATCATCTTAAGAAGATTTATATATCTTATTTACCTGAACTGCATCATAATACATTTGCTTGCCTTCTTCATCTGTTTTATCTGACATCAGCCATGCCTTAAGCAAATATTCATAAAAGCTATCTCCAAGTCCTCCAATGGAGACATGATCTGAAAAGAAAAGTAAGCAGATGCTTTATAGTAATTCCATCTTCAATTTAAACAGACAAGCACACCTACCCTACATCTGAAAGATGGTGAACTGGAAAGTAACTTTCATTCCAAAGCCCAAAATCTTTGAAAATACTTTCAATCATTTTCCAGCACAAAGCACTTCATGTGAAACAGATTTTGCATGATACACTGATTCTTTATAAATGCAGTTACACCTTGCTATTCCAAAATATAGCACTCTTTAGACATGAAATAGCTCCTTCTATTTGGCTTATTTATCTGAACTCTTTCAATCCCTCCCTGAAATCTTCTCACTGGGCTCCTGTTTGAGGTAAATTACTGTATTTTTATTTTCTTTATGGAACCAACTCATAGTCAATGCAACATGCATAGTCATCTGACTTTAAATGGTGAACCAGTCTAGAAGTCAGATCTTAAATCTGTAAAATAAATTTATAAATACACTGCTGCTCTGAATGAAAAAGAAGTAGGATTGCTCATGTACTAAATAATTGTAGCACCAAATTCTATACTTATTAGTAGTAGATTCAAACTACTGGTTGTATCAGTTCAAAGTGAACCTCCAGCACAGTATGATATATTGCAATCACAAAGCAGTACAGCACTATCATTAAATGCTATGCTCAAAATGCTACTGGTGTTTTCCACATGCTTAAGGTCATCCACAGCAGCATTGTTCATGTTGCGTGATTGATTGTGCAACTGCAAGAAGATAAGGACCCCAATGGACAGTCAGAAAACGGTTACTGCTGCTTGTGCATTCCCCCTTACATTATCATGTAAGGCACCAGGATTGTGGCCTATATCAAATGTATTCTTTTGGATACTCGATAATTACAAATTTTAAAAGGACATTTACACTGAATATTATACAGGATCTGTCTATAGGATATAAAATTTAACTTTGCAAAGTTGTCCCTTTGAGTTACAGAGCAGTACATTAATTTTCTTCTTGCTTTTAAAAGTTATGGTTCTAAAAGTAACACCAAAGATGTGGATGCTTTTTTTAAGGCTGGAAACTATAGAATAATGTAGTTATAAGAGTCCTATAAGGCCATCGAGTCCAACTCGCTCAAGGCAAGAACCCAGATCAAAGTAAATTTCACAAATGGTTGTCTAATTTTCTCTTGACTGCTTCCAGTGTTGCATTGCTCACCACCTCCCAAGATAATTGGTTCAATTGTTGTACTGCTCTAACAATTAGGATGTTTTTCCTGATATTCAACTGAAATATGGTTTACAAGCACACATTTTCCCCCTACAATCTGTTCACCTTGATAGTGTCCTTCTTTACCCATCAGCCTGTGACCTGGTATTTAGTTTTCTTAAATGTTACCTTTGCTATCCTTTTCCAATGAAATGTTCTGTGATGGCAAGATAGGATTGTTAAGAACTAACAAAACTGAAGTTTTTAGAAGTATATAAATACCTAATTAATTACAGGAATCTCTACAATACAAAGGGGAAGGATGCTTTCTTTGGAAGAATGAGCACGATGGAAGGCTGATCTCTGAACAGCAACATTTAAATGACCTTTCCAGTTTCTTAAATGAATTACCTCAGAAACTCCTGACATTTGCAGACTAAATAGCAGAAACAGAGTCTCATCAATAATAAGTCTTGCTATTATACCTATTATTGCTAGAGACAAATCTAATTGACCCATGACGCTGCAAATCACTTTCAATTTACCAGCAGAGTAAAAAAGGCTAAATAAATTTATAGGAAAAACAGCAATAAAATCAGTAGTGACTTTTAGATATCTGGTGCTGCTAACTAAACAGTAACAGAACACATTTTGCCCCATTCTGGCTTATGTAGGCTTTCCCAGTTTCCTGTGTTTCAGAGATAAATTTTGGGAGGCTTTCAGTAAAAAGGGTCACATGTCCATAAATATGCATGTTTTCCATCATATGAACATTTTTAGAGAGCTACTATTTCTTGCCAACAAAATCATTACTACATTTAAAGCCATGGAAATTAAACAAATGCCTTCATATCTCCAAAAACATATCTGTTGTGATATTTGGTGCAGAACACTTTGTATTAATATTTTATACAGAAACAGAAGTGATGACAAAAGAACAGAAGGCCTGCATTCACAACATAAACTCTAGTGACTACTAAAAACAGTGTTTGCTTTACTGTCCCCTGTACTTACGTTGACCCCACTGGCCGCTATTAGGATTTAGGTAATTAGGGTAAAGACCTTCTGGTTTATCCAACCGGTTTAAAACTTTGCGAATGTTCATAACCTAGTGCAAAACAAAAGTTCCGTTATTGTGCTTCATTTAAATATATGAACTTTTAAAAAAACTAAATATATGCTAAGCAAGAATTTCTTTATAAGTATTGTAACATAGCAATTTAACTACTAGTTTGTAATCCCAATTATGGTGAAGGACACTGGTCCAGAGATCTTTTGTGAAGCCAAAGTAATGGCTTCCAGTTAGAAACCATGTTCTTTTTAAAGAAAGCAAACGCATGTTCAAGCCCTAGAAGCAAAAATGTGATTGTTGTTTGGTTTATGCAACATAAACATATGCGAAGAAAACATTTGTGGAAATAATCTTTGTAGGCTACTCTCCACGCTCAAAATAATTATGAAGTATTTCCTGTGATCCAGCAACCAGTTTCAGCCAATGTCAATAACACCACTGCCACTGGAACAATAACACTGTAAAAGGCTATCTTACTTGGAACAGCACATATTTTAAGGAAATATCTATGAATATCCTCGGTGCTTGGGAATGATCTGATATTTAAGGAATTAAATTCAGCTAGTGATAATGATAACAAAACAAGAGTGTAATAAGATTAATAATAATAAAATAAGGTGCCATAACAGGTAGAATGGAACTGCAGCATGATTTAGGCAAGCCTACCTCATGTGAAACAAGTTATAGCAAGATATAAAAGAATAATTGTCGTGGGTTTTTCGGGCTCTTTGGCCATGTTTCTGAAGGTTGTTCTTCCTAGTTTCGCCATCTTCAGAGGATAGCACTCTGTCACCTCTGAAGATGCCGACCACAGAGAACAACCTTCAGAACATGGACAAAGAGCCCGAAAAAACCACAACAACCATTAGATTCCGGCTGTGAAAGCCACGAATACATACAAAAGAATATTTGTAAAAATCTCATTACAGTAAAAGTCTGTATTACATGAGTGAAAAGTCAGAATTTAACACTGTGCACAAAACTAAATACAAACACAATGAGCAAAACTTTTTATGAAAACATGTAAGGCATCAGTTAAACATATATAAATAAGAAAAGTGTCCATCAGATTAAAATCTGCTTCATCAGGAATCATGTTTAGATTCCAAAAATAAGGAAGAAAGGAAAGAAGGGAAAGGAAAGATAGTTTGGAAAAATAAAGTTACCATCAAACTGTTTTTTTAAAAAGGCTCCTGCCCTGTCGTTATGTTTGTTTTTGTTACTGGCACTGGTTTAAACTGGTAGCTGGGTCACAGCAAACATTGTGTGGCTATTTTGAGTGTGCGGATACTAGTTTATACTAGAATAAAACAAACCAGCTTCCCAGGGAACTCAGTCCTCTTCTCAGTCACATAGAAGAGGAAAAGTGTTGAAACATGTTAGCCTTAGTCTTCACTTGGGCTTGCTCCAGCTAAAGCCCATAAAGCTAAACCCTGGCTTGACGTTATGCACATACTCTCCCAATATTTCCTTGTTTGTAGTACAAAGTCAACCTAAATTACAGAACAGAAGCTCTTAATCTGTCACCCAAGTGAATAAACTCACTCTAGTATGTAGGAATGCTATCAAGTGATAGCCTTTTCAGAGAATTAAAAATTAAAATGAACTGAAATTCTAGACATTTGAGAATAGTTGATCATACTCTCAAATTGTGGCACTACTAACTGCAAAAAACAAAACACACAAACAAAAAAACACAACCCCCCCACAAAACCCGAACTTGTTAAAATCTAACCTTGTCAGCAAACACTGGATTACCAGACAAGTAGCTTAGATGCATAAACTCCAAATGCAGTGTTCCAAATTCTGCCAAAATGCTGCTTCCTCCAGATGCCCAGGGCCAGTTTCGACCAATGCCACTAAGAATAAGAATAACTGTTTCATCAACAACAATAATGATGGAAAGTGAAGTGCAACTGAAACATAAGATAATGCTAATATCACATAATGTTCAGCAGTGACAAAAGGAAGCAGCAGGTACAGTGGGGTCTTGACTTGAGAACTTAATCCATATTGGAAGGCGGTTCTCAAGTCAAAAAGTCTGTAAGTCAAGTCTCCATTGACCTACAGTGCATTGAAAACTGATTAATCCCGTAACAGGCCGTTTTTGTTCCATTTTGGTTTTTTTCTGGTCTGTAAGTCAAATCTCAATCTGCAAGTCAAACCTAAATTTTGCGGCCAGAGAAGTCTGTAACTCAAAAAGTCTGTAAGTCAAGCCGTCTGTAAGTCAAGGGTCCACTGTATAACACAGGGATAAGTATAACTTTCAACCCTCCAAATGCTGCTGGATTCCAACTCCATCACTCCTGATTGTTGGCCATTTGTGTAGTCATGAGTTCACTGATATTTATTCCCATGTGCACAAAATAAAACATCCCAAGACTATAAACAATAAAATCTGTGCTAATATCCATCATCAGTATTTGCTTGCACTTTCAACAAAAAACATACTATTTGTTCGGCTTAAGCAAATTAAAGTCATGACAAAGTAACCACAGTAAGTGAACTCTTTACATGATAATGTATTGATGCTGAAGAACATTATTGGATCAAAACTTGCTTGTTAACAAAACCTCCAGCTCCAGTGAGATCAAGCCTAAAGCTACAGTTAGAAAAGTTGAAATCTTTCTTTATGAATCTGGTAGGAAAGTTTTAACAAAGCAACTTTTACTTTACACTAAGAGTACAGTTAACAATACGAACTTCCAAAACAGAAAGCCATCAAGGATTTGAAGCAGAAAACTATATCTCAAAAAATCACAACACAAAATGTCCAAGAAAATAAACCAATGAATGCCATTAAGGGTGTAATCAATAAACTTCCTTTCTGGACTCTGCTGAGCATAATAGAATTCAAGTTGGTTTAAACTAAATTGAGCAGAGATGGACATATTAACAGAAGTTTTGAAAGGCAATTCAATCCAAGAAGCATCTAAAAAAATGGGTCCCTATTTATTTATTTATTTATTTATTTATTTATTTATTTATTTATTTATTTATTTATTTATTTAACTTATATGCCACCCACTCTACCCAAACGTGGATCCATTCTATAACCTGAAAGCCAAATGTGATAATTTTAATACAAAATAGTCAAATAACTCTACAGTAGTTGGAATTATATAGGCAACTAACAGACACAAAAGTCTTTAATATAATGATATATGATTAAGTACAGATAATATGTGATAATTTATAGTATATTTATTCCCTGTTATCCAGAGTTATTTCCCTTTACCCTTGAAATAATTAAAAAACAACAACTAAACTAAGCAAAAGGGGACATGGAAGGAGCATCTCCATAAAATGTGAGGACTGTGAACGCATTCGGGCACCTCTAGGCCAATAACAGCACCCTGTCAGAAGCATCACCGGATTGCTTCTGATATGAATGATGAAAAAGAACTGAGCCAAGAAATTTTGTTTTTGCTGCAACAGGCAGTTCAGAGATTGTCATGCCTGAACATCTCCCCAAGAGCACTACAGAACTTCATAGACCACTAAGAAAAAATCAGAAGATTGTGTTTATCACAGCTAGCATTAATCCTAATTTGGGGTTAATCCCAGATTAAAAGCAAACAGCCATTCACAATCTTGTCAAAGTTCATCTGAGTATCAAGGTATAAGTTTTTTCACTAGTTGCAATAATTCCAGGCAATATCAGCTTGTCGAATTCCACAAGTTTTATTTATATACATAGCTTCTATGTTCCATGAGCACAAAATACTTCAAAAAGTAACAAATTAACATGTACAGAAAACATTACATTTATGAAGGCTGTAGGCACAAATGCTTAAAATTAAATTGCCATCCAAAAGTCTTAAAACTATGAGGAGCTGCAAACAGTATATTCAAAAACAATACTTAAGTTGTAGGCAGAACTTTTATCATATTTGAATCCAAAATTAAATAAGCTTATATCTTAAAAGACACATTGAAACAGCGGAGAATACTTCTCCAAATTAGAGAATACGTCCAGAACACTTCTCCAAAATCATTAAAAAGTAAAAAGGACTGTGATTTTAAGTAACCTTTAGCTTTTAAGCATATTAAACATTGCTGTTATGTGCTGTCAAGTCACTTCTGAATCATCGCAACCTTATGAATGAGTAATCTCCAAAATGTCCTGTCCTTAACACCCCTGCTCAGCTTTAGCGAGTCAGTCCATCTCATACTTGGTCTTCCTCTTTTCCTGCTGCCGTCAAATTTTCATAGCATTATTTATTTATTTATTTATTTATTTATTTGATTGATTGATTGATTGATTGATTTTTACCCCACCCATCTAGACCAAAGGTGTACTCTGGGCAGCATTAAAAATTTTAAAAACAGTGAAATCAATAAACGTATACTATTTATTTGACAAAAATTGTGACAAAAATGTTAAAATTTAACATACGGCAGGAGAGAAAGCCTGCCCAAATAGCCAGGTCTTAACTTTACTCCCGAAAACACTCAGAGAGGGAGCCAGGCAGATCTCCATGGCAAATTGTTCCAAAGGCGAGGGGCCAACCTCCCTTGCTGTTAGGTCCTCAGCTGCCGGGCCGGCTAGAATGAGTGACTCTGGCAGAACTGGTAGGAGGAGGCGATCTGCCAGATATCGAGGTCCTAAACCATTTGGGGCTTTATATTTCATTGTTAGGACATTGAAATCAATGCAGAAACAAATGGCCAGCCAATACAAGCCGGCCAGAGTGGGGAAAATATGGTGATATCTTTTCACCCCTGTAAAGTCTGGCTGCGGTATTCTGCACCATCTGAAGTTTCCGTGTCAGTCTCAAAGGCAGCCCCACGTAGAGCACATTACAGTAGTCTAATCTTGAAACTATGAGCACATGGACCAAGGTGGTGAGAGCCCCCACATCAAGACAGGGACACAGCTGGGCAATCCGCCAAAGATGGAAGCGTGCTGAAAAGACCACTGATGCCACCTGGGTTTCCATGGTGTGCGCCAGGTCCAGATGTACACCCAAACTGTTAACCTCACTCTTAGTGGTAAGAGTCATCACCCCAAAGCGAAGGAGTTTCCCAAACCACTGATGTTTGGGACACCCACCCAAAGGACCTCTGTGTTGCTCGACTTCAGCCTCAATCCATTATCCTGCATCCATTGCTGAACAGCCTCCAGGCAGCACTCAAAGGATGAAACAGCATCCACTGTTATTGGAAAAAAGGAGATGCAGAGGTGAGTATCATCAGCATACTGATGACACCAAGCCCCGCATCCCCTAATGAACCCTCCCAGCGGCCTCATATACATGTTAAACAGCATTGGAGAGATGACTGAGCCCTGCTGAACTCCACAATTGAGGCTCCACAGGTCTTAAAAACTCTCTCCAATCTGCACTCTCTGGGGATGGTCCTCCAAGAAGGAATGGAGCCAAGCAAAAGCCAGTTCACCAATTCCCAACTCAGAGAGACTTCCCAGGAGGATACCATGGTCGACAGTATGAAAGGCAGCTGAGTTATTGAGGAGGACTAGCAGAGACATTTTGCCCCTGTCAGTCTCCCTCAATAGGTCATCAAACAGGGTGACCAATGCCATTCCTGTGCTGTGGCGTGGTCTGAAGCCTAACTGGAACAGATCCAGGGCACTGGTTTCTTCCAGAAGAGCCTGCAACTGATCGGCCACCACCCTCTCAACTACCTTGCTGAGGAAAGAAACATTGGTGATGGGCTATAATTACCAATATTGTCCACTGCCAAACTCTGTTTCTTCCTAAGGGTCCTAATGAGTGTCTCCTTGAGACACTCATTAATGGAGAGTCCCATTAATTATTGCCGTAGCCCATTTGGATGTTATAGGCCTGACTGCTTTGATTAGCCAGGCCCGGCAAAGGTCAAGGCAGGAGGTGGTGGGGCGACAGCGATCAAGCATCCACCATGTCTGACATCACAGGTTGGAAGTGGTTAACTCTCATTGAGCATAACAGAGTGCTGGACGTTTTGGCTTGATCCACAGTTTTCAAATAGGGGGTAAGATCCCGGCGGATGGCCTCCCCTTTCGATTCTAAAAAAGGCTGCAAACTGGTCAGGTGAGATGTTAGTGGGAGGCCAGTCAGTATGACCAACTCCGGATAGATCACAGACTTTATGGAAGAGTTCTGCCTGCTGATTGGAAGCTTTGTTTATCCGGATAGCGAAGTAAGATCGACTACCAGCCTTCACCTTAGATTGGTAAAGGTTAGTCACGATCTTAACAGCTATTTGATTATTTTCCATCAGATTCCGCCTCCATATGCATTCTAGCCTTCTCCTATTTCGCTTCACTGATTGCAGCTGCTGGTTGAACCAGGGCGAAGGGCCAACTCTGTGCCGGAGAGGGCATTTAGGTGCAATCATGTCAACAGCCCTGGTGGCAGCGAAAAACCAGCTGTCAACCAGAGCTTCAACAGGAGTGCCAGTCAAATCGGCTGGAATCCCTCTCATTGTATCCTGGAAACCTATAAGATCCAGTAACCTTCAAGGGTGAACCATTAAAACAGGTCCTTGTTCCCCGTGGGGAGGAAGAGCCACTGTAAGGTTGCATTTAATCAGATGGTGATCCGACCATGAAAAGGGGAAGACATTAGGTCAGTCACCATCAGACCACACTCACTCTGCTCAGTGGAGAACACCAGGCCGAGTGTATGGTCACGCACGTGGGAGGGGCCGTTGATATGTTGGGACATGTTCAAGGAGGCATGGTCTTCAACAGCCGGACTGGAAACCTCCGCCTCAGTATGTATGTTGAAGTCACTCAAGACCAGTGCCGCGGGGTCTTGGAGAGCGTGTTAACCCAGCAAGGTCCCAATACCATCCCTGGCCCCAACTGACATGCAGAGGACCTCTAGACCCGGTGTCACCACCGCAGAGCTCA